ACAAAGAGGCACAATCGGCCTCCGCGTTCGGCAGCGTTCGACATCTGTCTCTCACCTACTTGAGTGAATTTTCTTTTGAAAAATGCAACCATTCGATTAGTATTTTCTTATGACGTTGTCACGTTCAACTATCGTCAGTAAACCGACTTTACAGACAACCGATTTTTATTTATGGTACAGGGGCAAACGCACAGACCGGTCGCCTGAAGGTTAGTGACAAGTGCCGCCGACGGTTACGTACAAATCAGACGTAACGAGAGACAAGTCCGTTGCCGCCACAGGTTGCCGCCCTTTGAGTAGGAAACAAAGGGTGGGGGGATTGAACTCCCTTAACCTTACTCGCTCAGTAAAATGCAACGAAATAAATGTTTAACACCGGTTTTCTACGAGGTATAACTCCGATCGAGCCGGACCTTATATGTGCTTTCTCTTTTGTCATGCCTGAAAACGGTTACATTCCCAAGAATGGTTCGCATCAGCATTGTACATGGGCATAAAAAATATCGGCGAAATCCCACGAACTCTCGCTTTAGACCATGGACAGAATAATAGTCTCCACTAGTCTCCAGCGAAAGGCTTCATACATCATCATCATCAACAGGCTTTAATCGTAGACAGCTGCACATTAGAAAGGAGGTTTTGGCTTACTATACCACGCTGGCCAGACGGGTTGGTATAGGGTTTATTGCAAGTTTTCGTTCTCCTTGCAGTGCCTTTGTCCTGCGTAGTTTACTCACTTGTCGGCTCTTACTACACCAACGGAATGAATAGGGGTCGTGCATACAACAACTGGAAAAATACCTGAATTGGCAAAATAGAAACAAAAAAATCATACATTACATTTATACTGTCATTACATATTTTGAGTTATTTTAAAAAATACATACATTTGTTTCATGACATAAAATAATAGGAATGTTTAAAAATGAATGCAGAAATACCAATGATATGAATTAATAGGTATAGATTAAAATTATGTACACAACTGTTGTAGTCGGATAGCATTTTTCAACAAATTCATATACCGTTCGTTCGGGTCACATTGTGACCGTTTACCAGAATAGATAATAATAGAATAGAATAGAATATGTATTGTTTGATTAATTCTATACAAATAGAATTAATCAAACAATACACGGGATAACAGCTCTAGTAAATTACAGTTGCTGAGTATCATTATATCTGCAACAGCCTTTAGTAGTCTACTACTAGACATGGAATCTCCTTAGAAAGGAGGTTTTGGCCTACTGTACCACGCTGGTCCGACGGCTTGGTAAAGGGTTTGTGTCAAATTTTCTTTCTCTTTGGAGTGATATTGTCCTACGTAGTTTGTTCCCTAAGTTTTTAGGACACCAATGAGATATATTACTATAGGGTGGTGACACTCCGTATTTTTAATCCGCCGCCATATGGAGAGTCGTGTATCATAAGTATCTTAAAGAAAGCAATTGCCCGTCGTTTCCACCGGTTTTTTTTATATTTGTCACCTCAGAACTCCGTCAATTTTTGTTCGTTTGGTTCCATTCAATTTTGAAAAAAAGATACCCTCTTTGGAGTTGTAACAGTTAATTATAATTATCATCATGCAGATGCATTGAAGTCGAGAAATGTTTTTTTTTGTAAGTAAATTGTATATATTTTTTAATAAGTTTATTATATTTTAATTATAATTATATTTTTTGAAGAGAAAAACGTTTGTAGAAAAAGTTGGAAGATACGAGTATATTTAGTTGTGGAATGGTCAGCCTGTCAGTCGATCAACAGATCAGAGCAGACGGTGCGTTTATCTAACGATTACTATTATAGAACAAGGTTTTAGGATTAGGCTGGCATAAAAGGTAATTTTCCTATCCGTCGGAAGGAATTAAATCTCACGTCCTGTTCAGAACGAATAATTGTGTGAAGAGCACGATCATTTGTTCTGTGTGTGGGTGTAATTTATCTATTATATCTATGTATTAAGAAATATTTAAGATGTTTATCAGCAGTCTGGTTACCTTAGTAAAGGCTCTTGGGATCAGACGGTCATGTATGAAATGTATCAAGTTAATATTTATGTTAACCTGTTGACATACCGACCAGTTATGGTCGAAATTCAACCACCATTCTTCTTCCTAGTTGATGCCTCACTGTTGAGGATCGTGACTCCCTTTCATCCTGTCAACCATCTGTTTCCATCGGCTGCGATCAGTCGATTGGTGGAGTGCGATACTTCTTGGCATTTCTAGCTTCAACCACCATAATGACCTCTGTTATTAATACACATTAGCGATAAACATAAAAGGTATGTCCTAAAAATGATTTTGTGCCTGTTGGCTCTCTTAGTCTTCAAATATTTAGTGTTAGGTGCTATACAACTGTACGACGAAGGCGATTCAATGACAATACCACGAACACCTGTAATTTGAGAGGGAATCGAATTGATTTACTGTTTGTAAGCTTGGCAAAACAGTCACAACGCTAGTACCCGACTGACTATGTATAAATTTTATTAAATTTATGTAGGGATATGTATGTATGTTTAATTGTGTATGTGTGTTTATATATTGTGGACGTCTCTGGATTTTAATTATGTTAAATTTAATATTTTATTTTGCACTTACCGCATCATATTTCTACATCACCTGCAGGTTGACTGGGAGAGAATGCCTAATGGCATTAAGTCCGCCTTTGTACAACATGTGGATTATTTTAAATAAAAACATAAATAAAAAGGTCTATTACCCGTGAAAAGCCAGTACGGGGGGTTCATTCGAGAATATACTACAGTTACTGTATACGTATATCGATGTCGGCTCCCTAACCTTTCCACATCTGTTTCTTCACAAGTCAAGTGCTATGTAAGCGATAAAACTAGTATAAAAATATGCTATAGTGAGACCAGTGTATCAGCATAATTGAGGATATTGACCCCGTATCGTCTGCCAGTCGTGACACCTGGTTTCGATAGCTTCACGTGCCCAGAGCAAGGAGATACGTGACTACGGTTTATAATAGGTTTTGATATGAGCCATTTTAACCAAAAAGAAACAGTTTGTTTTTTTTTTTAGTTTGCTTTTTTTTGGCACTTATACAATACGAGCAAAAATAATAATATAAGAATAAAAAAAAAAGATTTAAGAATATACTAGCTGCGCCCTGGGGTGTTACCCGCGACTGTTGTTGTACGTTGCTCATCCCACCAGAACACTACATTTTTTCGGAAAAAAATAGTTTATGTGCTCTTACAGACTATAACCTATCCCTGTGACAAATTTAATACAGATCTGTACAGCCGTTTTGGCGTGAAAGTAACAAACATCCATACAAACTTTTACCTTTATAATATTAGTAAGATTAGGAAAAGACGGGCCTGTCCGTGTGGTGATGGATTAAGAATACAGAGTGTCACCACCCCTATTCATCAAGTTCGTGTTCTAAGAAGCGACTAAGGGAGGAAACTACGCAGGACAACAGCACTGCAGAGAGAAGGAAAATTTGGCACAAACCCTATACCAACCCGTCTGGCCAGCGTGGCATAGTAGGCCAAAACCTCCTTTGTCAAAGGCCTATGTCCAGAAGTAGACTAGTAAAGGCTGTTGATGTGATGTGGGCCTGTTGGTCCAGGGGTTACTGATCCTAATTGCTAAGCCAGAGGTAGTCAGTTCGACTCTCATCCAGGACAAATAAAGTGTTTGTGTGTATGTTAACACATTCATATTATTGTTTATTATATTATTGTATATTGTTTATATATTTTTTTCCACATACACACAACGCCATCTAGTCCCAAACTAAGCAGAGCTTGTACTATGGGTACTAGACAACTGATATAAATACATATATACTTTCTTTTTTTTGGTAAATACATACATATTATACATAGAAACACCCAGACCAAATCAAACATCAAATGTTCATGCACACAAATGTTTGACTTGAGTGGGAATTGAACCCGCTACCTTTGGAATAGCAGTCCGTTACACAAACCACTACGCCATCCGGTCGTCAAATATATATATTATTGGCTCACAATCGTTTTAATTAAGAAATCGTCGTAAACAGGTACACAACGATTTTTCCTTCTAATATATTTGGTATTTTAATTGAGGAAACGGGCATCAAACCGATAAAGGCATTTGCACTATGCTGGTTTTAACAAGTTATTTATCAATACTATACTAATACTTACTGTACCGGCGAATTTCGTACCGCCTTAGAATTAATAAATTAGGTCACAAATTTGATGACATACCGACAGCTACCGGGTCCAATTGTTTTCAAACCACCCAAGAACCCATTGAAATATACACATAAAATTTCATCCAAATCGCTCCAGCCGTTTAAGAGGAGTTAAGTTACAAACACACGTACAGAGTATGTATGCATTAAGATTATAAAGCTTTCAGGATTTTTAATTATTTATTAGCCATAGCGTGATGTTTATAGCACATAGGCTTCCTCGAGAAATGGGCTATCCGACACTAAAACACATTCAATTCGAACCAGTACTTCCTTAGATTAGCGCGATCAAACCAACTCTTCAGCTTTATAATATTAGTGTCCCTCCAACACAAAGGGAGGATCCTCCGACCAGGCGAGGTGATCATGCCTGGCGGGCCGCGGACCAACGGTTGATGTTGTGAAGTTGTATTAATGCTAATAGGCGAGAGAATTCTTGATATCGCGATACAGGATTAGCAATTCTCATTCAGGAGTTACTCCGTAGTTCGGTGTCTTCGTGAGATGGCCCTGGAGTATGTTTCTATTTCTTTGCATGTGGAAGTCGCCACAATATCAAGATATCAAATCAATAAAAAGATCAAATTGAAAATGGAGGACAATTCAGGTTCTACTTTAAAATGTTACATTTAATGATGCGAGCGAAATAATTTATTTTAAACCTTTGAATCTACCACACTGCTTAACACTGATTTTCTGTGAGGCCGTGGTATCACTCCGGTGTACCGAAGCATGGCTCTCCTGCGACCATTTAAAAATAATAGACATTCAAAACTTACCATGTGTAGAAGGGTTCTCTCAGTTCCGCATAAGGAATGTTGAGCAGGCCCTTCACTGTGTAGACAGGACTCCATTGTGGTGGCGAACCTAAAAAATAGATACTCCTTTAATATTATAAACGGGAAAGATGAAGTTTGGAACAGAGATAGATTATGGTCTGTAATAGCGCGGCAATATAATGAAATTATTGTAAGATAGTTTTACGACAGGTCACACCAGTAGAAGTAGCTAGATGCAAATATATAATTTAAAAATCAAACAATGCTTAAATTACCACAAAATAGTATTTTAGATACTAATATTTTAAAGATGAAAAGATTGTTTGTTTGTATATTTGTGGGAATGATGTTATTAATCGATTGTTTTGGTTTATTTTGTCTGTGATTTGGTAGCAACACTAAGATAGATCAAAGAGTAGAGAGAGATTTATGTCATGTGTATGACGTGAGTTGATTTTGTGAAAGAAAAATACAGAATAATAGTTAAAACGGACTTTCTTTGGGTAAATATTCCTACAAAATATGGGGGCTCGTCCGGGATACCGAAGAAATATGAAGTTTTAATTATTCGTGAAGACTGAGAAGATTTCAAAATTTTTCATGAGTGAGGAAATCTTCGAGAGAAGACGCCATTACAGTACAGGTACCTACTGTTTTACCGACAGAGCTAAACAAGGATTGAAAAGACGTCATTGTCGTACTACAACTACTGTTTTGCCGACGGAGTTACAGACGAACTTCACACCTGTCTTAATAGGGTTGTCATATGAAGAATGAGTTTCTCATAAAGTTACGAATGAATCGATTTTCATATCGATTAAAGAAGTAAGATGTAAACTGAAGAAGTTATGTTATGATTTGATATTTTGAAGACTGTTACTTTATATGAAGACGTTCCTATTCTTGGACCAGAGAATATTTTAAAGACTATCTTAAAGACTGAAGATTTATTTTAAAGAAGATGCCGCCAAAGAAAGAAAAGGAAGAGACTACACCTGAACTCTCGTTCAGCGACGTGGAGAAGTCTATGTCTGCTTTTAGTGGAGACAACAATTACTCGATTGAAACCTTTATTAATGATTTTGACGATATCGCCAAGCTGATGGAATGGGGTGAGATACAAAAACTAATCTACGCCAAGCGCTTGCTGACTGGAACTGCAAAGCTTTTTCTAAGAACACTAAGTAGTCCAAAGACATGGCTAGAACTAAAGACTGCATTAAAAGAAGAATTCGGCTCAAAATTGAATAGTGCTGCCATCCACAAAAAATTAGCTACACGTAAAATGAGAAATGATGAGACTTACCAACAGTACTTTCTAAATATGAAAGAATTGGCGTTGCTTGGTAAAATTGAAGACGAAGCGTTGATTGAATACATGATCGACGGGATACGCGATGCAGAATGCAATAAAGCTATTTTGTATGGAGCTGAAAATATAAAAGATTTCCGGAAGAAGCTGGATCTGTACGCTCAAATGAGAAAGAAGATTACAACTACGAGGTATGATAATAACACGAAACAACCGTATCAGAGTACTTCACAGGCGAATAAAAAACATGTAATGAAAACAAGATGCTACAATTGTGGTGAAACAGACCACCAAGCACCGAGATGTACGAAGGGCATTAAGTGTTTTAAATGCAACAATTACGGGCATAAATCAAACGATTGCCCAACCAACCAAAAGAAGACTATGAAAATTCAAACGAAGGATAACGAACATTGCAAGTCACCTTATAAGAAGTTGACAATAAATGGGGTTGAATCCAAGGTCCTAATTGATACAGGAAGCGATGTGAGTTTGGTCAAAGAATGCCAGTTCAACAAGGTTAATGGAAAGAGGTACAACTATAATCCGCATGCTGTATTGTGCCTAACAGGAATAGCCGAGCACGAAATACGTACTAAAGGCTCTTTTATGGCGAAAATTAAGATGGATGATTGTTATTTTGACACTACCTTCCATATAGTTAATGATAATGACATACCAGTAGATATCATTATTGGAAATCGGATATTGGAGGAAGTCGACGTTCACTTTTCTGCTGATGGGATAACAGCTAAGAGGGTTTTGCACTTAACAACTTTAGAAGATGACGATGAAACCTTTAATATTGGTAAACAAGAATTTAAGAGTATTATCGAAACAATGATTAAAGACTATAATCCCCAGAATGTTACAAGAAAATCTAATGTGCAACTAAAAATTATTTTATCCGATGATTCCCCGATATATCAAAACCCACGACGCTTATCACCTCTCGAGCTGGATGTTGTCAACAAACAAATTAAAGAATGGGGAGAACAAGGCATTATAAAACCAAGCAAATCAGATTTCGCAAGCCCGATTGTCTTGGCTAAGAAAAAAAATGAAAAGTACAGATTGTGTGTTGATTACAGAAGACTTAACAAGAAGACTATTAAAGAAAGATTCTCACTGCCTTTGATAGAAGATCAGATAGATCATCTAAAACACGTAGATGCGTTGAGTAGACATCCTGTAAAAAACGTAGTGTTACTCACTGACACCATTGCACGACTGAAGAAAGCACAAGATGAAGACCTGAAAATAAAATTAATAAAAAAGGTTTTAGAAAAAGAAGCATACGAAGACTTTAGTGTAGAAAATGGAGTTTTATTAAAAATAAAAGAAGGAAGAAAATTACTAGTGTTGCCAAAAAAGATGCAAAATGAAATAATCAGAAAATATCATGAAAAAGGTCATTTCGGAGTTATTAAAACAGAAGAACTTATAGAAAGAGAATATTATGCTGAGAATTTAAAAGAAAAGATAAAGTCTGTAATAGAAAACTGTGTCAAATGCATACTAGTATCTCATAAAAAAGGAAAGAAAGAAGGATTTCTAAACTGTATTGATAAAGGAGATAGACCTTTGTCTACTTACCATATCGACCACTTAGGACCGTTGACGTCCACTAACAAGCATTACAAGTATTTGTTTACTGTCGTAGATGGCTTTACAAAGTTCACATGGATTTATCCAACAAAGAGTCTGTCTACCGAAGAAGTGTTAGACAAATTAAAGCTGCAACAGAAAACTTTCGGATCACCAGAAAGAATAATTAGTGACCGAAATGCCTCATTTACCTCTAATACATTTAAAGAATATTGTGATACAGAAGGGATTGCTCATCACACAATCACTACTGGGCAACCTAGAGGTAACGGACAAGTAGAGAGAGTGCACCAAACCATAATCAACGTATTAAGTAAAATGAGCTCTGAAGATCCTACGAAGTGGTATAAGCATGTAAACGAAGTTCAAAGATGCCTTAACAACACATACCAACGGAGTGTAAAGACTACACCTTTCGAACTCTTGACTGGAACAAAGATGAGAGATAGAAATGACGAGATTCTAAAGCTGATAGAAGAAGAAAATATAGAGAATTTTAATGAACAAAGAGAAGAGTTACGCAAGAATGCTAAAGAAAATATTCAGAGTATTCAAGAAGAGAATAGAAAAGGCTATAATCGAAAACGCAAAGAAGCAAGAGAGTACCAAGTTGGAGATCTTGTGGCCATCAAAAGAACACAGTTCGTTCAGGGCTATAAACTGCATCCCAAATATCTCGGCCCATACGAAATTGTGAAGAAAAAAAGAAACGATCGATATGATCTGAAGAAAATTGGTTCAGGCGAGGGACCGATAAACACATCTAGTTCCGCCGATATGATGAAGCCATGGAGTTCATGTGATAATTCTACCGACTCATCTGAGGCAGATGAGTAGCAGGATAGCCGTGTGGGAATGATGTTATTAATCGATTGTTTTGGTTTATTTTGTCTGTGATTTGGTAGCAACACTAAGATAGATCAAAGAGTAGAGAGAGATTTATGTCATGTGTATGACGTGAGTTGATTTTGTGAAAGAAAAATACAGAATAATAGTTAAAACGGACTTTCTTTGGGTAAATATTCCTACATATTTATTTGGTTGAACGCGCTAATCTCAAGAACTACAGGTTCGAATCAAAGCAAAAGGCCGCTGCGGTTACGGTCGATGTGGCCGAGGCAAACGACCCGAGATAGGTGACACACCCCGTGCGGCCGGGGGGATGTCGTCTAGGGCGGGGCGCTGTTGCGCCTCGTGCAGAACGATTAGGGGCGCGGTAGCATTACACTCTAAGGGTCGTCATGGTCACCCTGGGATGTGCCTCAATCGGCGGGGAGAACTCCAGAAACCGCTGATGCGTTCCTGGAGCTCCGCCCGACTGTCGAGGTAGGCCGCCGCGAGGTTTAGTAGGTTGACCGATTCACCGGGAGTCCCACATACCCCGCATAAAAAAAAGAAAGGTTCGAATTGAACAATAATAATAACAAATAATAATAATATTCTACCACATTCACACAACGCCATCTAGTCCCAAACTAAGCAGAGCTTGTACTATGGGTACTAGACAACTGATATAAATACATATATACTTTTTTTTTGTAAATACATACATATTATACATAGAAACACCCAGACCAAATCAAACATCAAATGTTCATACACACAAATGTTTGACTTGAGCGGTAATCGAACCCGCGACCTTTGGAATAGCAGTCCGTTACACAAACCACTACGCCATCCGGTTGTCAAATTCTTTTAGTGTTGGTCCCATTTATCGAGGAAAGTTATAGGCTTCCTAACATCACGCTATAACCAATAGGAGATGAGCATCAATGAAAAATATTGCGAAAACGGGGCAAATTTATTCCTTTTGAGAAACGCTAACGTTACGCGGTTTAGCTAGTATGATATATAAATATGCTCCACCCTACTCCATCGCTTCTTTGTCATGGTAAATGAGAAGGGTCACCCGGGTCTCAATTCTGCTATTTTAATATTGTATCAATGGACTGTCGATGGAATGTCGTCAGCATAGTTTTGCAATTTTCCTATTCTATTATGTATGTCCAATGGCCTCCCACTGATGTTCTGGCACTGAAATGCCATTGATACAAATGTCGTCGATGACTTTGTAATGGTTTAGTAAACGGTACATTTGAAATTTGTAAGGAAATGATTTATTTAATTTGCCAGATATGGCAATATTATTGATATCACCATTGATGAGCCATTGTCACTACATCGACAGTCTATTGACACTGAATTTATCTTAGTAGAATATCGATATTTTGACCTATGTCACTGGCATCTTAATAGCGTGTCAATGGAATGACAGTGACTTGTACGTTAACATAAAATAGCTGAATTGAGACCACGATGTTAAGTGACCACCGCCGCCAACCTGAGCGCCTGTAACTTAGTCACAAAGCGCGATGCCGTCGGTAAACAACGAAATAATTGTTGCTTCAACAATACACAAATTGTTGCAACCTATTTGACCTTCCTAAAATTATAATTATGTATTTGACTTGCGTACCTAATCACCAACATTACTCAAACAAAGGCATGTTATTCTGTATGCTATTACAATCAGACAACACACAGCAACAAAGAAGAATAAATTTGATGATGCACTGTTTACAAATAAACCCCGATAAATTTATCAAGACGTGCATGCTGGCCTAGTAGGCTAGCTAGCTAGATATCCTAAAGCAGAGGTTTTTTTTTTTTTAATAATAATGTTTATTCTCTTTTCACCAATGGTTGTATTAAGACAAAATAATACAGTAGTGGTTTAGCTTCTTAATTCCACCTTTGAGAAAGACTGGTGCCTGATGTATGGTAAAAAAAGCAGTGGCACCCCTGGAGTGCCGACAGAAGCGAAAACTTATATACAGAGGTGTCGGTAACGGTAACAGTGTCGCGAGTTCAATGGTTTTTCAAATATTTTTTTTGGTAATTGTATAAGTAGGCAAACGAGCAGACGGGTCACCTGATGGTAAGCAACTACCGCCGCCCATGGACACCTGCCTAATTTTAAAAAATATACCTCCCAACAGTGAAAGATTAAGGAAAAGTATACATCTTATAACAATTCATCACAATACAGGTCCTGTAAAGTCAGTAAAAACTTTTTGAAACACTAAATATGTACATTCAAATGCTATCACTTTAAAAAAATATTTGACATTTAAAAAAAACTACAAATCTTATAAGATTCATTCTATTTTCGTAAAATCTGTAACTTGTAACACAATTTTGTTTAAAAGTAATTGTAATGGAATATATTTATATTTTACAATAATTTAAAACATTACACAAATGGTCCAATTTTTTTACTCATGTACTGAAGTTATGTCATAAATTAAGTAATTCAATTCACTTTTATATATGACTGACATAGTTACCATGATAATATTTTAGTTTTTTTTAAGTTTAAGTATTTTACCTCCCCGCAATAGCTGGTTTAAGATTGGACTTCAAACCTTCAAGAAAAGAGGGTACTCCTTCCTAAAAGGCTGGCAACGTGTTTGTGACTCCTGAGTTAAAGATGTTTATGGGCGGCGATGGTCACTTTCCATCAGGTGACCCGTATGCGTGTCTGCCCCCTCTAACATAAAAAAAAACTTTTATACAGTCTTCTTTTCTTGATAGCTAACTTTTTACTTGAGTTATTCACACATCTCACGCACGGCAGTCTGATCCCAAACTAGGCAGAGCTGCTATGGTAACCAGACTGCTGATAAACAATTACATACAACTTATAGATAAATTACATACAGAAACATAAGAAATGATTAAGCCCATTACAAAACTATTTGTCCTGGGTTGAAATGGAACCCACAACCTCCGGGTTAGCAGTCAGTATGAGTATGAGTTTGATTTTATTAATTTAATGCTATGCTAAGTGGAGGTCTATGTCCAGGAGTGGACTATTAAAGGCTGTTGATGTGATGTGACGTATCGTTTTATTAAAGAAGTTCTAGAAAGCTACTGGTGTGATAACTCCTAACAGCTTCTTAGCCGGAGGGGTTGCCAACAACCCGAATAATGTGTTACCCAAGTTACCAATCTATACAAATAAATAAAATTGGAGTAGACACTCCAATTTTATTTATTTGTATAGATTGGTTTGGAACAGACGTTCGTAATATTAAAGTAACCGCTTTTTACTAAATACATATGTATGTTTACACGGTACATTTGCCAAAATAACATTTTTTAGAATTTTTGTCTGTCTGTCTGTCTGTTTGTTCCGGGTAATCTCTGCAAACGGCTGGTCCGATTTCGACGGGACTTTCACTGGCAGATAGCTGATGACATAAGGAGTAACTTAGACTACTTTTTTTAGACTAGCTTCGCCCCGCAGCGTTGCCCGATGTTATAACAACAAACGCGGGTAACACCGCGGGTCTCAGCTAGTCTTTTATAAAAAAAGAGAAGTTTAGCATATACTTTCCATTGACTTCCGTCGAGTTGGGGGTTGATATTTTTTTACAGTTACAATTATTAATTAATTATTAATTTATTTTATTTTAACAGTACCTATTAGGGCATATGACACATAAAATAGATTAGGTTCAACTTATGTCAAAGAACTGAATTGATTGACCCTGACTCCACCTTGTAGGAGTCTGTTATATCCCTAGTGTTTGTGAGCTGGAGGTGCATAGGAATAGCAGGAAGGAGGTGCATATATAATAATTATGTATTTAACTTTGAAATTTGTTTTTCAGATATTTAATGACTAGTTTAAAATCAATTTGGTTTTGTCAAGTTGATTAAAAGCCCTAACTATATAATAAGTTAACTGCATAACAAAACCTTATTATGGTAGGTACAAATTGTTTTTCAAAAATATAAATCCATCTTACTATGATTTTTATAAGTGTCATATTTTGGTTTCGTATAATTAATATTATTATGTAGGTATGTGCACATAATTGTAAACAAATTAAATTCATTACATTTTTATACCTCCGAAAATAGCAACTATAGTAACTTAAATTAATAATGAAGAGCGCAATAATAGCACAAAAACAGTAAAGCATTACTGATTGATCGGACATTACCTATGTTCTAACATTTATCATTCGTTTGAGTAAAAAAATATTATTATTATTCTTTTAAACTTTGTTTTTATTCTTACAATATAACGTCGCAACTTGCGATAAATTGAGGTCTGATAATATTAATTACATACCCTTATCAAAATATCCAACGGTCGACCCGATTAGTACACAAAACACCAAGAACGAAACCATCGTGAACTACCCCAGACCGCAGCCTGAGACACAATGACGTATAATTGTGACTTCGACTGTGACAGACAGTGACTTGTTTTGTTGTGAGTTTGACAGAGTTTGTGAGTTATTTGCACTTGCACACGAAGGAAACGACTGTTGATTGTACTGTGATCAAATTTTATCAACAAAAAGTTAAAAATGACTGACCCTGAACTACATCTCTTTAGATTTTTTGCTGTTTATGATGCGATTTTAATAAATGTGCCTCACTAAAATCACTAAAACTATGACGCATTTTTGAGCAATTTTTTAGTAATGTTGCACAACCAAAGCTGCTACTGCTGCTACGTAACCTGCCTACAATAATTCCATTTATATAATAACTTTGCGTGGATTTAACGCCTAATATTTTTGCTAGATAAAAACTATACATGGAATTCCAAAAAACAATTTATGAATTTTTTTAGTGCAAATAACAAATATTTTATTTCTTGACATTAAATTTAAAATTGTAAACTAAGAAAAATAACTTCTTCAACTCTTAAAAAGATTCTAGTCTCTAGAAACTTCTTAGTCATGCATAAAAAAGACGTTGAAGGCCACGAATAATAATTTCTCATCATCCAGTTGATTAACAGAAGATAAATGAAGGTTGATATCGTTGATATCATTCAAACCAATGGTCATACGAAATTCGGTCTATTGTTGTTTACCACTGCCTAATGTGTTAAGGACCTTCCACATACTGAAAGTACTGTACTTCAAAGATACCTATTTAGCACTATGAATGTAATAAAAACAATCAGTGGAATAGAATAAAGTTAATCTTTTATCGAATATGTTAAGAATACGTTGTGGTTTGAGGTTGGAATAAAAATGTTGCAACCAATATGAAATTCCAATAACTTTTATAAAACTAATTGGTACCTAAGAATTGTAGTATTAATCTGAAACCGACGATGATGGTCCAGACAAAAACGATTCATCTGATGAAGACGAATTAATTTAAAATAAGTAAGTTTTGTTATTGAATGTTGGAGTGATACCACGGCCTTACAGAAAATCGGTTTTTGAAGGTTTGTGCTTCTCCCTGACAATGGAGTCAGGGAGAATCACAAACCTAAATGGTTAGGGATGGATTAAAATCACAATCACATGTTATAAATCATATCAATTAAAAAACATGTCATCACACCTCTGGACTAATTTACAAAACCACTGCGACCGAACTATTAATCGCGAAAGGTCTAATATTTTACTTAGTCTATAACGAAATCACAATCGCATGTAAAATCGCTGTGTCTAAAAACAAATCATTTCAAGAAATGAATATGATTTAAAAGTAGGAATAATTTCCATGTCTAACTCCAGGGCTTGGGACTCAAAAGGCGGTAACGCACTTGTGACTCTTCAGTTACAGGTGTCCATGTGCAGCGGTAGTTAGTAGTTACTAACTATCAGGTGACCTATCTGCTTGTTTTGACCACCCCCCACCCCTTAAAACTTAAAAAAGTTATGTTCCTAATCTTCACTTGTTGGACAATGAAATAATTTTAAATATACTTATTGTTTTTTTTTCCTTATGACTAAAAAAGCATAGTAGTGCCGTTTTTCGTTAGTGGTTTCTGGTAGTTTTGGAAGTTGAATCTGGAGTAGAGTTAATTTAACTGCTGGCAGCACTACAGTGAAGTAGAGTCAGTCAGTCGTTGACACTAGTCAGTCACTTTGACAAGCTTATCAATCTGTATAGCACAGAGTACAGTAATACAATCTATGCAATCAATCAACACAACACAATATTCAATGAAAGTAATTTTTGTCAAAAATTGAGTTTTTTTTATATTGAGATAGAGATAGCGTTACTTTAATTGTTTACGTGTGATCCACATTAATTAAAACGGGAAGTAGTCTGTGTCGATATCTGAAGAATTTATGTTGATTACAAACTAGAATTGCATTCATATATGTCGTTCTAAAAGAAAGTACGGAGATAATATTTAAGGAAAAATGAATAAGAAAGCGATATCTTTCGCCAAAATAAGTCTCAACATCAGTAAACCCACAGGAGATGGTAGTAAAAATGACACAGACTCTACTTCAGGCTTCGGTACTTTTGGTCGTATTCCCATTCAAAAACACAAGGAAATTGAAGAAATTGCTGAAGATCTAGAAAATCAACATGTCCAAGAAGTAATGGGAATCAAAAATTTTGGCAAAAAAGCGAAAAATTATGACATTTCCGAAATGGTACAGCAGGCAAAAATAAAAGCTCTAGAAGCCAATAAAAAGAGGTTAGAAGCTGAAGCTGATAAAATAGAACCTGTTAAAGAAGATGAAAGTGATGATGAATTAATAGGACCTCCATTACCTCCTAGTTTATCATCCCAAGATGATAGCAATCCAGATATTGGCCCTCCTATTCCTCAAAACTTGCTTCAAAAGAATAAAGGGGATGAAATTAAATCTAAAAAAGTTGAAGAAGGCGATGAAGACAGCTATGATGACTTAAGTGGGTCTGATGAAGAAGAGGAACTTCCTATAGATAGAAGAATACCAAATACTCACGAGGTAGGTAGAGTTACAATCTGTTAACAAATATGTATTAACTGAACATGAATGTTTTGTTTGAATTGTATCAATTCTCAATTGCAACGGGACCATCCTAATTTAATTAGGGCCTACTTATGACATAAAGTTTGTCCCATATTAATACTTTGTGTGGTCTCTTTCTATCAGAATCTAATATCAAATTATGTGTGTATGTTTGTTTTCTCTTAAGATAATCTGAGTAATAATGGGTTTCACTTTTCTAATGTTATCTTACATAATTATAAACTTTTTTATTCCAAATTTGTTGTTGTAAATAATAAAAAACGTAACGGATTGAGAGTACTGAGTGTCACCACCCCCATTTGACCCATGAGTATCGTAAGAGCCAACTAAGGGAGAAAACTACACAGGACATCAGCACTGCAAAAGGAAAGAACACTTGACACAGACCTATTTCTTAGTATTCCATGGAATCACAGTGCGGGTCCATCATGTGATAGATGGGGGCAACACATGCAACTTCAAATTCTGAGAATTACAACCCTGGTATAGGTTTAGGGAGAGTACTCGCGACGCGTCAGCACTCACCTCCACTGTCTGTTGTGTTACCCCCTCTAACATATTTGATACAAGCCTAGTTATGCGGCTTTGGATATTCATTCAAGAAAAGAGCTAACTGAAGCTCTTGGCAATCCAAGGTCTTTAAGCAGATTATAGAGGGATTTAGCTGGCCGATCGCACCCACTTCCACTGCATACAATGAAGTACGCGTTTCTTTTTAAAGCAAGTCTTTAGGGCTGTTTGTTTCCCACGGCACAGTGAGTTCTACTAGTACTACACGCTAAGTTGAAATTGCATAAAGAAATATGTCTGGCCTGGATGGAGGAGGGTATTCTGTAATGATTTTCATACATGTCCACTAATAATGTCACTGATGGCTTTTGTGAAGTTTTTTTTTGTTGAGCCTTCCTTTACAAATGCGAAGTTAGTTCTTATGTTTGTTGTTATTTCTTTATTCGCTCTTGCCAGTGATAAACATATAGTTTTGCACTTTTCGTTTGACAGGTTGGTATAGGTTGTATACCTACGGGGTCCAGAAGGCGATAACTACCTGGACCCCTTCTAAACTGGAAGCGCAAAGAGGGCACACCGTGTGGTTTTAGTCGGTTCGAGTCCGACACACCGCCCCGCCGAACTGAGAGCCCCGGCGGGGTGACGGTCCGAGGGGATTTGCACACGATAAAAAAAAAAAAAAAGGTTGTATACCTACCAGTCAAACGAAAAGTGCAAAACTATTCTAATAAATGTAATAGTACTTGATGTTTATAGTGTATCCAATCGTGTATTTAACTTTTGACAGATCACGCACATAAAGTTTTGTAAAAATTTTTGATACAATGTACTACAGGGAATACTGTACTTCATGGACGGGCACCGCCCATTTAGAGATGTGTCAAAAACGGTTTTGAAATAAATCGATTGTCGATTATATTAATAAAACATAGAATAAAATTATTGTGATTATATTTTATATCAAATCACGTAAAAACCTTTATTATTTTGCATTAAAATGCCCTAAATGTCTCTGTTTTAATGCATAAATAATTTGCGTAATGAAAACAGTTCCATCGTACTCGTACCTCGTTTAAGAAGCAATGCTAGTCACAAAATGGGGGGTATTAATAATCATATTATCTATACAAATAAATAAAATTGAACATTGTCTGACATTTGTATAGATGTATGTTATGTCAAAATAATAGGTTTTTTCATGCTCACACACAGTTTTGCATGATTATTTTTGCCTGTCTGTTTGTACCGGCTAATCTTCAAAACGGCTGGATATTGATAATATTTTACTACCAGATAGCTGTCTTTATAACGAGTAACTTCTCTCAGAAAAACCCTATAAAATTTAATAATAATTTAAATTTAAACCAACTAGTTTTTAATAATAATATACTCGTATGTGTTGAGTCATATAATTTTTCCATCCAGGTTGAAATGCTACATGGTAGCAAAGCAGTTTTGGCTCTTGCAGTTGATCCATCTGGTGCTCGGCTGGCTACAGGATCTATAGACTATGATGTCTCCTTTTGGGATTTTGCGGGTAAAAATAATTTTCTATTAAACATTATTAGACAACAATGCTTTATTATTTTTAGGTATTTAAGAGGTTAGCCGCTTACTACTACGCTGAGTGCTGTGGGTCCGATCCCCACATGGGACTACACGTGTGATCCACAAATTATTGTTCTAAGTCTGGGTGTTCTTTGTGTCCGTTTCATGTATGTTTGTAAAGTCCCCTGCGACACTTGATATACTTATTGCTAATACGGGAGTTGTCTTTATAAAAACCCAGTGAAAATGGTAGCTTGTAACTGTTCTACTTTACTATTATTTATGAAAACAGCTGTGGTCCTCCGGGTCTCTAAAATAATAATAACTTTATTTCTCACCACAATACATGTTAGTACATACAATGTTCTTATAGACTAAATCAGGCAGAAAACACTATACACAATATTGTGTGAGAAAATATTCATATACCTCTTTTTTCTTGCTGTCGCTGTCTTTATAGCCTATAGCCACACTGCCTTAGATCCTTGTGTGACCACAGCAGAATATATCTAACATTTTTAAAACAACCTTATCAAGTTATCCAATTTTAAATTTAACTATATTTACTTATTAAACAGGTATGGACTCTTCAATGCGCTCCTTCCGTACGCTCCAACCTTGCGAAAATCATCCTATAAAAGCGCTGCAGTACTCCACTACTGGGGATTCTATCCTAGTGGTTAGTGGATCGGCTCAAGCTAAGGTTTTGGACCGAGATGGATTCGAAGTACTGGAATGTGTAAAAGGAGACCAGTATATAACTGACATGGCTAGGTAGGTAGATCTTAGATAATAAACCAGATGTATTGAATATTACAGTACAGGGAGGGACTGTCATAAATGGCGAAAACGAAAGAGCTTCAAATAAATTGAATAAAATCAAGTGTCACAATAGCATGCTAATGTTAAAACGAATAGTTTACTAAAAAATATCACCATACGGTCAACATAACCCAAACTTATATCTATTTAATATTCTTTTCCAGAACCAAAGGCCACACGGCCGCTTTAAACAGTGGTTGCTGGCATCCAAATATCCGCGACGAATTCATGACTTGTTCCCAGGACGGAACACTACGTCTGTGGGTCACGGAGAACCCTAAGCAACACAAAGCAATCATCAAACCGAGACAACAGGGTGGTTTGAAGACTGCACCTACAGCTTGCACCTTCTCTAGAGACGGGAACACAGTGGCTTGCGGGTGTTATGACGGCTCCATACAAATGTGGGATCACAGAAAGAATTTCGTCAATAATTCTGTACTTCTCCGAGATGGGCATCAGAAACAATCTGAAATATGCAGTATAGCATACTCATATTTAGGTTCATATTTAGCTAGCAGAGGAAACGATGACACGCTAAAGATTTGGGATTTGAGGCAATTTAAAAAGCCGTTACATGTGTTTGATAATCTTTTCTCAAGATATGACCAAACTGACTGCGCTTTCAGTCCAGACGATACATTGGTATTTACAGGAGAATCATTACAAAAAGGACAGAATAATGGGCGGCTGTTATTTTACAACACGAAAACTTTTGAGCAAGTTACACATATAGATGTGTCGAAATCCCACGTGATAAAGGGTATTTGGCACCCAAAGTTAAATCAGATATTCGTTGGATGTGGTAACGGTGTGGTAAAGTGCTACTTTGACCAAAAACGAAGTCTTCGTGGCGCAAAACTGTGTATAGTCAAGACACATAGGAAGAAACATTCAGTTGAAGTAGTTAGTGCTCAGCAAATAATAACTCCTCATGCTCTCCCATTATTCAGGCAAGAGAAATTGAGAACATCGAAGAAGAAAATGGAAAAGGATCGTCTGGATCCTGTCAAGTCTCATCGACCAGACTTACCAATTACATCCGGTCAGGGAGGTAGAGTTGCAGCTTCTGGAAGTACTCTAAGCTCGTTCGTCATTAGAAATCTTGGACTTAGTAAGAGAGTGGATGATGAACAGGATCCAAGAGAGGCTATTTTGAAATATGCTAAAGAGGCAGAGGAGAATCCCTTCTGGGTAGCACCTGCTTATAAAAAGACACAGCCAATGCCGATATTCCAAGTAGAAGGGGAGGAAGATGGCCCTCCTGATGTGAAGAAATCTAAAACCTCCTAGATATTTGGAGAGGAAAAACTTTCGTGAGTTAATAGGGTTAATGATGGCCCGTAGTGGCCCGTGGATAGTTTCTTAGGTCTTGTCGGTGTCAGGCTATCAGTTCTTTTGTAGTCTGGCATCCCCGAAATACACACATGAGTAGAACCGTTTATCTTTAACATTTGCAAAGAGTGTAACTGGCGGTATTACTAGAGATTACATTTGTTGAAATGGACCAATCTTTAATACCCCAAGCTTGGCAAAGCGAGGAAGCGAGTCTGTTAGATTTGAGCAGACTAACAGCACAATTTTTTGAATAAAAAGGCAGTATTTTCCTTTTTACAATTTAAGTTAATTACAATCAAGTATTTTTTTTTTATTGACCGATTTATATGGAATAAAAAGCTAATAATAGTAATTAAATTACCATAATTCGCCCTGAAAATTACTACGTGCAAGAAATATTGGCACACCCGCGTACTTCACGGCGTCGGACTAGGCTCTGAAGTCCCGTCGCCGTCCCGGGCACGGACGTGTAAACGAGTTCATATAAAATGTAGACACTGATATTTCTTTGGGTCTCCGACGGAGCACGGCCCGTCTACGACCCGGACACGGCATGGATATATGTGGATAGAGCTTTATTGTTATGAAAATAATGTAATAATATAAAATTAAACGATTCTTGAACTCTAATTGCATGTGTTTTTATTTTAAATGTCGTTTGTTTTTATCAGTTAACATATTATCACGAGATAAGCTAAAGCATATTAGAGCTATGATGTAGCAACCGAGTTAAGTTGCCAGCACTTTGTCACCCCCACAAGGGGGTTGTGACACCGGTAACCGCACCCAATCGGTGATATGCAAGTATTGCTTATCAACGGTTTTCTGTGAGGCCTTTAGTCCGTGGTATCACTGCGCTTCCCGGTGTATTTAGCCTAGCGCTCCTGGAGGACGTAGGCCATTAAGTGCTCTATGGCGACTGCTGCATTTTGATGGAGAGGAATAGAACTCTCCCATCAAGCAGAAGAGTCAGTTGGATAACCGCCTTACACCAGACAAGTGTTGTCCTTTTTACTATCTTAATATAATAATAATAAACCTTTAAAAGTGTCACTTCAATAAGAGTATATCATGGTTAACTGTAACACTATATTCTAGATTCCTTAATTTTCTACCTTGGTGTGGTGACGGATTAAAAATACGGAGTGTCACCATCCCTATTCATCCCGAAGGTGTCGTAAGAGCCACATAAGGGAGCATCCCACGCAGGACAACAGCACTACAAAGAGAAGGAAAACTTGACACAAACCCTAAACCAACCGTCTGGCCAGCATGGTATAGTAGGTCAAAACCTCCTTTCTAAGGAGAGGCCTATGTCCAGAAGTGGACTGTTTAAAGCTGTTGATGAGGAGCTGGCACTTTTTTCTCAAAGTTCGAATGGAACCAAACGGAAAGTATACCTACTCAAACGAAATAAGAATAAATGATGAAAAAATACAAACTTAATAAGGACCTCCTCCTTTTTTAAATCGGTTAAAAGTAATAGTCGAATGTTCTATATGATTTCATAGCAAAATAAAACAAAAAGGAAACACGTTAAAACATGTAATAACTTACAATAACTATCAAACTACTTATAATTAAATTTAAACTACGCCCGCGCCGCTACGCTGTCTGCCTCTTCATTATCGACAGCCTTTGCAGGTGATCTTGATACGTTCTGAAAATACACATATAAACAAAATTTATTTATTAAATAATATAATAATAAAACGTATGAAACACACGTGACTTGAACCGGTGTAATCCAACCCTAATTTAAAAACTCGCTCGTTCCAGGTGCAAAGGATATCCGATGCAATTCAGCGAAGCAACCCGCTAGTATCATGGGCAGCTTTGCACCGCGAGCGAAGCGGGGCGGGTTATATGATTAACTAATTATTAAACTTTAATAAAATTAACATTGTTTTTAATTTTATAAATCTATTTAAAAAGTTCAAACTGTTATGAAAATACTAATGAAAAGTTAAATACTCATTTAAATTCACAATTTAAAAAAACAACATCTTAGCTTACGGTATTTGCATCTAACGAACAAATTTGAAGACACTATGCTTCTACAAAAAATGCTCAAAGGAAGAAACTTGAAAAAACAAAACCCCGATCCCAAGCATCAAACCAATAACCAATAAAACGCTGCTGTTTAAATTGTCCCGCCATCAATATATCGAAAAACATACTTCAATGACATCTATCGAAGACACACGAACTACTTAGTAACTACTGATGCTACATCGCGCAATTAAAGTTCTCAAAATCAATCGTTAGATCGCGGTCTGATAGACATGATCATTGATTTGATCCATTCTCTATGTAGGAATGACAGCCATAATGCTACAAACTCAATAGTTTTTTTTTTATGGTATAGGGGGGCAGACCAGCCACATGATGGTTAGTGACTCCTGCAACTCGCAGTTCACAAGAGTCAATTGAGTGGGTTGCCACCCTTCGAGTCCCACCCCGAAAATTAAAAAAAAAAACAAAAAAAACCTCTGTGGAAGTCCCACAAAGGGAGGATCCTCCGACCAGGCGAGGTTATCATGGCTGGCGTGCCGCGGCCCAACGGTTGATGTTGGGAAGTTTTATATATTGATAATCGGCGAGATAATTGTTAATATCGCGATACAGGATTAGCAGTTACTCCGTAGTTCAGTGCGTCTTCGTTAGATGGCGCTGTAGTATGTCTCTTTGTTTCACCATATATGGAAGTCGCCACAACCTCAGTCACTCACTGTATCTTAAGTATGACTTACCAATTTCTTTGCCCTATCTGTGAGTATGGAGAATGCGAAGTGGTTTATTATCACACCAGTGGGTAGTGCTACACCTTGAAACCTGTACAGATTTTTTACATCGCTGTTCTTCGATCCTGTTGAAAATATATAGTATATTAGTGGGATAATATATAAATAGAACTGATTTTTTTTTATGGAATAGGCAAATAGGGCAAACGAGCAGACGGGTGATGGAAAGCGACTACCGCCGCCCATGAACGCTCGCAGCTCAGGAGTCACAAGCGCGCTGCCAGCTTTTGAGGAAGGGGTACACTCTTTTCTTGAAGGTTTGAAGGTCGTATCAGTCCGGAAATACCGCAGCCGATAACTTGTTTCACAGATAGGTAGTGCGAGGCAAAAGCGCACAGTGGTGGAGCGCCAGTTATCTAAATGGTGGGGATGAAAATTTTGTCGTACGGAACGATGGCGGAAGGTTGCGGTGGAACGTTCATAAGAATGGAATGTCCATGATAAAGTCTAACATGGCGCTTTTCGAGACAATACATTAAGTAAGGGCTGCTTCATCTGCCTGTTAAGAAGTTTCTTCACATTGAGTATCTTGTACTTTGTTACATTGTGTGATTTACAATCTGTCTGTCTCTCTTTATATGTGTGTCTGTTTGCCTGTAGCCTAAAAGCCTCTAAACTAATAGGCATATTTAGTTGTTATTAGAAAGATAACGTAATAGGGGCGTTTCCTAACGTATTATTTAAAAGAATTTGTTCAACCGTTACAGTACCTTTAACTCTTTTTTTAGGTCTTAAATTAAAAATAATAATAATAATAATAATAATTGCCATCATTAAATTTATAAACATTTTGGCTTATGTAAAGTTATGAATTTGATATGACAGTCAACTACCCTCTTTTTTAAATAAATTGGGAAATAGAAAGTACCGTTTAATTTATGAACGGAAGCGATGGCGATGCGTCCGATTTGTCCAGATGTGCTGATCATGGGTCCTTTCGATATATCCACGTGTTTACCAACTCTGTACAATGTTACTTTACCTGCGAATAATAAATGAAAATAGTCATAATAAAATTCGGCTTTTTGAAGTGAAACTTCGTAAGAATCGTTAAGATTTGAAACTCGATGAAACGAAAATGCGTCACGACAAAGAAACAAACACATAAATGTATGGGATTAAGTCAGCGAGAGAATGAGATAGAATACATTACCCATTATTTTTAATATAATATTTTGACAGTGTGAATATTTTTATCTTTTTATTTAATACTAGCTGGTACCGCGCGTGGAATTTGAAAACCACTACCTTATTGGGTTCGATTCCCGGGCCAGGCAAAATTTTATAGGGTTTTTCTGATATAAAAAAAATCTTTTTTCGTAAAATTCACTTCTGCCGTGTGTGAATTGACACACACTTTTTACCGGTACCTGATGTTGATTACCGCCGCCCATGAACACATGTAACTTAAGGGACACAAGTGAAAAATAGAGAGGGCGTTTTGGGCTGCGGTACGTTACTCAGAACACACATCTTCACATCAATATTTTTATTTTTTATTTATGTTTTATTTCTTTTTTTTTTTTAAAGACGCGGTCGCGGGGGACTTAACTAACATAGATGAAACGGACACAAAGAACACCCAGACTCAGAACAACAATTTGTGGATCACACAAAGTGTCGTCCCATGTGGGGATCGGACCCACAACAGTAATCGGCGTGGCGACCGCTTAAAACACTACGCCATACGTGCAGTCAAATATCAATAGCCTTTAATAGTCCACTGCTGGACACAAGCCTCTCCTTAGAAAGGAGGGTAACACCTTCACATATTTTTTTCCACTCACCATTATTTCTAGCTATACTCGGTATCTGTTTAGTTTTATGTTCATTATCCACGAACATCTCCAGAGCCAACTCTTCACCGACCTCCAGCCTCTCCAGGGGTTTGTTCTCTCGAGTTAGCTTTACATATTCAGCTGCTAAAGTAATCAGCTCCTTGTTGGATGGCTGCCAGTTGGGCAAAGTGGGGAGGTCTATGTCATAGATGAAAGATCCGCTGCGGACTGTTGAAGGTTCATGATTAGTTAAACGTTTTGACGTGACAACGTCTTATAATTCGATGGAGCCGGCCGCACGCACAAAAAAACATGACTCATGCGGCGTTACCTCGCTCTGAGGCGTTCCATTTAAGGCGTGAAGTGCAAGCGAGAGCGCGGAACGAGTGACAAAGAGGCACAATCGGCCTCCGCGTTCGGCAGCGTTCGACATCTGTCTCTCTCCTACTTGAGTGAGCGATGCGTCCGCGTGGACAGCTGCTACTCGTATACAATAATAAAAAATAAAATTAGTTTTGTAAATTATCTATCCCACCACAGAGTTCCATGTTGTAAGTACATACTCCATAACTAAGAAACTAATCGTAACTAAAAAAATAAAACCAGTCAGGTACGAGTCGCACTCGTGCGCCGAGGGTTCCGTACCTACCCAGATTTTACGTAGATTTTCGGACAATTTGTAAGTACCAAAATTTATCATAATTTTCAACTTTTTTTATTTTTTGGAATTACTCCTTTATTTGTGCTGTAAGACGTTGCTTTTTGGCAAATTTCGTGATTCTAGGTCAACGGGAACTACCCTATAGGTTTTCGACACAAAACCTATAGGGTACTTCCCGGTTGACCTAGAATTGTCAGTTTTGGTTAAAAGCAAGATCTTACAGCAAAAGTATAAAGAAAATTCTGAAAAATAAAAAAGTTGAAAATTAAGGTAAATTTTGGTACTTACAAGTTTTCGCGAAAATCGAAATTTTCCCAAATCTTTTTATCGTGTTGACTTAGGACCTTGATTTTTATACTCCTAATAGGGACCATAGACTTCAGTATCTGGTATAAATTTCAACTTGCTAGGTCTACCCGTTCCTGAGAGAATCGGTGGTGACACACGGACAGACGGACAAGAAAGTGATCTTATAAGGGTTCTTTTTCTACCTTTTGAGGTACGGAACCCTAATAAGTCGAATTATGAACTTATTAGTAACAATAAATATTGAGGGTATTCTTAAACATTTTTGTTTTATTATTATCATGAACCCATTTTTATCGTTTCCTTCGACTGTCCTATTTCATCTATACTCTTAATTCGCGGCTGATCTGCTGATGGCGTACGAGGAACGTATATCTATCATACATAACTTGCATGAAGGTAAGCTCCAACTATGTATAAATATTCTTAATATGATGATTTTCTGATCCACAGTGCATGTTTAATGATCTGATACAAAGTGAGCAAAGATAGTCGGGAGATGTTTAGTACACCTCTGTCTAATCCTTCAACGATACCGGCATAAGTTTTTAAGCTATTGCATAGCTTCTATAGCGGGTCTTGAGCGTGGAGACCGAATCCAGAAATTCCGTAACGAAAATAACCTAACACACCCCACGTGATACTTTTTAGTTTTGCCATCTATCGATGAATAGCAGAACTTTTAAAGACTTTTTTGAAATATCACGCTTGTCTCTTTAGTTCAGCAACTCGCCTCTAGGTGGCATTGGTTGTATCGGCGTTACTGCGCATGCGTAATCCCCCTCTTCGTGCCGCAATCTAATTAATATCAAAGAAAAAAAAGAACAAAGGAAAAAAATACTGCATAAAAAAAAAAAAAAAAATTGCATAAGTTGATAAAAATGCTATGCAATAGTTTTACCGCGGCAGTCCCCGAGTGCCACACGTCTTTTTTATGTACTAACTACTAAATTAACTAAAACTTACTGTCTGGTCCAGGGAAGCTGTGTAATTTGATAGGGACGGTATCTTTGAAAGCAACAGATGCGCACGCGCCGAGCATAAAGGAGCATGTCCGCCAGAATGCCTTGTTTACTTGTTGGGGCTCGGGGACGTTGAAATTTTGTAGCTGAAAGTTTTATAAATAATAGTAATTTAGTTATATTTTAGCAACCTAAACATTTGGATTATTGCATATGTATTGTAAAAAAATACTTTGGCACACTGTAGCCTAAGTACACTGAGTATAATGGGATTATAAAAGTCGGACTTTTTGTTTCTTTCAATGATTAGCTTGTTTAATTTAACTTTTTTATATTACTATAATTTGAATATTTGTACGAACATTAAATTTCATATTCTGTTATATGACTATATAACAGAATGTGAAATTTATGCAGTTACCATCAAGTGACATGTCTGATAGTTTGTCTACTTTACCATAAAAACAAAAGATTTTTTATTTGCAATCAGCCCTTTAAGCTTTAATCAGATTTTAATATCTAAATTTAGCAGTTCGAGATTCTTCACACCCAGTGTCATCTCTATATTTGTCAATTATCCTGACGCTATTCGCTTTCTTTTCAATCTATAGCTAGACTCTGAGGACTCTAGTAGAGTTCATTTTTGTGTTGCTGTATAATAATAATAAGCCCTTTATTCTGAATTAGTACATACAATATTAAACAGTTTAGAAGTTAAGTTTATAATATATTTCGTAATTCAGAGTGCCTCTTAGCATAGGCCTCCTCTAGCACTTTCCATTGGGTTCTGTGTCACGCTACCCTTCTCCAGTGATGTCCAGCTGGTAGCCTCAGGTCATCTGCCCATCTCGCTTGTTGTAATCTTTCTTTATAGTTTTTGTAGAATACGAAAACAAAAGATTAAAAAAATATTCATCTATATTTTTTTTTCTCGATTCTAAATTATTCTTCCTTCAGCTCTATAAGGCGCAAGTCCGGCCGCATATGGAATACTGTTCTCATCTCTATGCAGGGGCACCTCAGTACCAGCTTCTACCTCTGGACCGCATCCAACGAAGAGCGACTCGAATCGTCGATAGCCAAAAGATTTGCGAAAGCTCGATTCTTTAGCGTTACGTAGAGATGTAGCTTCACTCTGCATCCTCTATCGCATATATCATGGAGAGTGCTCCGAGGAATCGTTCGGACTAATACCAGCCGCAAATTTCCGCCATCGTTCCACACGGCAAAATTTTTATCCTTATTATCTAGATAGTTGGCGCTCCACTACTGTGGTATTTCCGGAAAGATACGACCATCAAACCTTCAAGAAAAGAGCGTACTCCTTCCTAAAAGGCCGGCAACGCGTTTGTGACTCCTGAGTTGCAGACCTTCATGGGCGGCGATGGTCACTTTCATTCAGGTGACCCGTCTGCTCGTCTGCCCCCTCTAACATAAAGAAAAAATCTCTATAACTTACTTCTAAGGTGCAATTCTCAGTGAGTGGTCTATGCATGTCCCAGTAGACTGTGCCATCAAGTAGTGCTAAGGCACTCGTCTCCGTGTGCCATTCACTTAAATCTATAATTGAAAAAATTAATCTATTTATAAATCTTATTATGATAAGACATCTTTATATGTAGTATTTATAGGCCCGCTCGAGTCTTTGCGGCCGCTACCACCCGGGACGGACGTACGGCCAGACACGGCGATGGCCGCTGTGCCCCTAATATTTAACTCTCTGATATTTAATAGTAAAATCATTTTCATGATATCTTAATGTTTTTAAAATTAAAATGCCATAGTCCATTATTTGATCTATCCCGTAAAATTTAGCTAGGGTTTGCAATGTAAGCACACAAAAACATGTTTTTTATGAGTTTTCACAAATTTTTAAAATTCTCTAATCTCCTCTACTATAATTTGCATGTATTATACATTTAAAACTGCATCTTGAAATACTCTTTCTATTGGTAGGGTCATAAAAATCCACACCACATAAAAATCCGATACATAGTTCCTAAGATCTAAGCATACAAAAAAAGTGACTTGAATTTATACTATGTAAAGATGTTTACGGGAATTAAAGTGGTCACTCGCTCACATAAGGTATATACTTAATACATTTTAGGAGTGTGTTCATTCTCGTAGACATAATCACTTATTTTTATAATTATGTGATAATTGATCCATATGGTGACGGATACAGAATTCGGAATGTCACCACTCCTTTTCATCCTGAGGGTATCGTAAGATCCGACTAAGGCAGCAAAATTTCGCAGGACCACAGCACTACAAAGAGAAGAATTAAAAAAAAAACCCTATGCCAATCTTTCTGCCTGTTGCAGTCCGTTGCAAAAACCACTGCGCTATCCGGTCGTCGAATTAAATAAAAAACTTACGTCTAGCACAATCGTAAGGTGTAGATATATCCTTATTCATGACAAAAGTGCAATTATTTGGTAGTCCCTTGTATTGAACTTCTATCTTCTCGATACGACCGACATTATCATACTGACGCTTTTTCTCGAGCGTAAAGAGATGATAACGTCGATCAACTGCCTCTTGTGTACTCAAAAATCCTAGAAAGATATAATTTAATTTGTTTATATTAATACATCAATAAATTTCGGAATGTTTTGGATCTACGACTGTTATCTATTACTTACTCGTTAGAGGATGAACTTTCGTGCAACTGTTTTTACAAATAATTTTAGATAAGTTTGTAATTTGTCCCCTCATTTTCAGTATTATTTAATTGTTTTGGACTGTAGAAGATCAGAGAAAACTAGGTTTTTTAGGTTATGTTATACTCAAGATGATTGCAATGACAGCTGACAGTTCACGAGGCTGCGTTCCCTAACTTAGTTGTCGGCATTTTAAGCATTACAATTTTTGTTAATTTATTAGGCTATTCGAGCAAACTATGCAGGACAACAGCACTACAAAGAGAAGGAAAACTTAAAGCAAACCCTATACCACCTTCCTCAAACTCCGGCAACGCGCTTGTGAGTCGCAGGCGGTCATGGGCGGCGGTAGTCACTTTCCATCAGGTGACCCGTCTCCTCATTTGTCTCATCATAGTAGGCCAAAACCTTTCCGTTCTTCTGATGATCATAGTACTAATCTTTAATAAAGGTGATCATAGTTAATATTATACTAAAGAATTTTTAATAATATACTAAAGAATAGACGTATAGACCAATAACCATTTTATCTTCTACAGCAGTGTGTTAACTGGCAGACTTATATAAACTAATCGAGTCAAATACACAAATTTGATTCATGATATCTAGAACTTTAGATCGATTTCAACATTTTCAGCAATACTTTTGACAAAGTGAGCCATCCGCTGATGATAGATAAACTACGATTTAATGGCTTTCATGGTTACATGTATACAACAAACGCTGTTATGCTTAGGTCTCGGGTCGAACCAGATATTTGTATGATCTGCAAATATTTGTTTTGGAATTTGGGTGTTTTCTATGTAGCATATGCATGTATTTACAAAAAAGTATATAAATATTCTATCAGTCAATCTAACTTTCATGGTACAAGCTCTGCTTCAACCTCAAACTCTCTTTATTTCATAAAAAAAAAAAAAATTGTTTGAAATCGTCTTTTATGTAGACTCTAAAGTCTAAAGTCATAGATCAACACACGCAAAAGCAACAACTACTTACTTACTAACTTAATTTGAAACTAGATGGCGTTGTGTGTCAAATGTCCGAAAATATTGTTATTAATATTTATTAACTTGGTTTACTTGCTGCCTCTTAAAATTGTACTCAATTTTTTGCTGACGAGACTATTACGTCCATATAGGGTTGCGAGAGTGTTCCCATCTAAGCCCCATTATATTTACTATATTTCTGAAGATATCAAAAATGAAATCCAGCACTGCCATACCATTGCGTTTTGGCGACAATTTACATTTAGGTCGCCTCATCCAGAATGATTTAGAAAATATTAAAATTTGCTGCAAATCTAACGCATGACCCTTAACGTTTAGAAATGCAATCATATACCTACGATTTTCGAAAAAAAAACAGCCTCGTTCCCGTCGCCGAGTTCTGGGCATTATAGTGCACTGGACACTTTTCGGAGATAAGAATAATATATTGGTTCTTAAAAGATCCCTTTCATAAATTTGCACTAATATCTTTCACTCAATAACTTTTTCAATGTGCGCTACATGCCAGGCAATTTCTTGAGCAAGTTTTTTTTTTAAACCTTATTATATCATGGTTTTGGCGCCACCTCTCCCCCCCATAGTTATCCATTGACCCCGGGGCTGGGTATACTATGACAAACGAGCAATCTCCTGGTGGTAAGTAGCTACCGCCGCTCAAGTACACCTGCAACTCAAAAGTCCCAAGTCGCCCTTTGAATCCTCCCCAAAGAAACAGGGAGAGGAGAGGTTTGGGCTCCGGTAACCTCATTCGCTCGGTTTTACAGAATTACTTAACACTGGTTAGCTATAAGGCACATATGGCACCATGGAACCAGTCCAGTGGAACCAGCCCTTTCGTGCCAAAACAGTGCTCATCCACGATAATAGTTTTAAACTTAATAAATGAATCTTTTTTTTTAAATGGGTTATTTGTGGTTCCATTATAGTAATAACTTGCGAGTACCGAGAGGCCTATATCCAGCAGTGGACTATAAAAATTCTGTAGATGATTGATAAAACATGAAATTTTAAAAGAGAGATATATTGCCAAATCAAGTGTTGTCTATAATCAACATACATAGCAGGTCCTTCCTTTTATTCATGATTTTTACAAGAATGTAGTGTATGGCTAGCAGCATAGCCAGTATATAATAAAGTTAATTTTTAGAAAAAAAACAAAAACCGACTTCAAAACTATACCTATATGTACAAATTTAAACTGAAAAGTAGAAAATAATATTAAATAATAATAATGATATTAATTTTTTATTTTAATTACTTTAAACATTCAACGAAAAGGTTTCCTAAGTTATTTTTAAAGTCGGTGCCGCCCAAAAACAGTTTAATTGTTGCAAAGGCAGCAACAAATGGAATGTACGGCGGCGCGACGCGGCTGCGCGCGTGTTGCAGCCGGACAGGACGGGACGCGGGGGGATGTGCCTAAGTGAGCGACCCGAACACGGGCAGACGCGTGAGGGCAGACGTCGTTGACGGTTGTGTCTCTATGCATAAAAATTTTGATGCGCTTCTTTGCAATTTATAAGTAAGCTTACGTGCGATTTTCTTTTCTCTAGTAAAAGTTAAGGTAATTAATATAATAAATAGTGTAATTAATTATTAGGTTATTTTTTTATTAACGATATTTTTGTTTTGGTTGGCACCGACTTCAAAAATAACTTAGGAAACCTTTTCGTTGAATGTTTAAAGTAATTAAAATAAAAAATTAATATCATTATTATTATTTAATATTATTTTCTACTTTTCAGTTTAAATTTGTACATATAGGTATAGTTTTGAAGTCGGTTTTTGTTTTTTTTCTAAAAATTAACTTTATTTTTAATTTTTAAGTGGAAAGTTAGTGTATTTTGTTTGTATATAATATGGGTAGGCCTACTAAACGCGCTTCTCAAATGAGAAAGCGTCGTTTGGAAGAAAGTAGAGACGAGAGGGAAGATCGTCTAAAGAAGAGTAGGGAAAGATTTGCAATAAAAATTGCAAATGAGAGTGATGAGCAGCGGGCGTATAGACTTTCTCAGATGAGGGCATACTCAAACTTATCAAGGCTTAATGAAAGTCCAAAAAGTCATGCTCAACGACTCAGTTTGATTCACGAGCGTTTATCAAACGAAAGCAAAGAGCAACGTTCTCATCGTCTTCGGTTGATTCACGAGCGTTTATCAAACGAAAGCGAAGAGCAACGTTCTCATCGTCTTGAGTTGATTCACGAGCGTTTATCAAACGAAAGCGAAGAGCAACGTTCTCATCGTCTTGGGCTGATTCACGAGCGTTTATCAAATGAAAGCGAAGAGCAACGTTCTCATCGTCTTGGGCTGATTCACGAGCGTTTATCAAACGAAAGCGAAGAGCAACGTTCTCATCGTCTTGGGCTGATTCACGAGCGTTTATCAAACGAAAGCGAAGAGCAACGTTCTCATCGCCTTGGTTTGATTCACGAGCGTTTGTCAAATGAATCTATCGAATCCAGATCGACTCGATTAGATGCTATGCGACAAGCTAGTCGCAACCGCAGGAATGATTTCGAACAGTCTATTAACATTTTTGCAGACGTTCAGTGTGCCGTTTGTAATAAAGCGTTATATCCACCACAACGTTTTAATTTACGTACTGCAATTTACAGTGCATTATTACCCAAAGAATTGGTTTCTCTGGGCAATATCATAACATGCTCTCGCTGTCAAAATAATATTAGGAAACGAAAAATTCCACCAGCAGCTTTCTGGAACAAAATGACAGTCGCGACTGTTCCTCAAGAGCTAGCTAATTTGACGAAACTTGAAGAACGGTTTTTATGCCGTGTTGTACCGTTTCTTAAAAAAATGCAATTACAAAATCGTTTCTGTCAAGATTGGTGTAAGGGACAAGTAACTTTGTTTGCAAAAGACGTTGTTGAAGTCGCTGAACAACTGCCACTTGCGCCAAACCAAGTAGGATTAGTTCTTGTTGTGGAAAGTCTCGAGAACTTGCAACGCTCCCAAGAGTTTGTTGTGGATATGAACAGATTGTATCAAGCTCTAACCTGGTTAATGTCAAACAATATACTCTACAGAGATGTAAGACCCCATTTTGAGAATGTTATCGACATTTCTGAACTTGTTCAAATTTCTGAAGAGCCTGCAGATGGTGGTGAGCTTATGGAGTTAGAATCTACTCCTCAAAACAACTACGTCGATATAAATGAAAACGTTTCTATACTACACGGATCATTTCATCAAGCTGATTTAAGATTTGATTTACAATCTCGTGGCAAACAATGCACTGCTGTAGCAGCTGTAGCTTGTGCAGCGTTCTGTACAGATGAGCCAAGTCAATGGTCAAAAAGTGACATTGATTATATAGTAATACTCGGAGATAAGCTCTACCGTGAGTCCATTGCTTCTAGAGAGAACCCCGCAATTGGAGAAATTAATCCTGAATATCTTGCTGCGAGTGATCTTGCACAGCAAATATTATATAACAGGAAGAAAATCAATATCTCTGTTACTGATACCAATTATAATGGTCATATAGATACAGATCGAAGTACTGACGGCTTCCCTAACCTAAAAAATGCTCTGACATTATTTTTAAGAGAAAACTGTTGCGGGCTGCTTACTGCGAATTCCATGACTGTGGCTATATATTGTAAAACTGAAACTGATGCTTATAAATATTGGTTGTTCGATTCACATGCACGTGGGCCTAAGGGAGGTAAAGCTCCAAAACGTGGTGCAGCCTGTTGCATGAAATTCCAAAATATAGATGAATTACATGATATAATGCGACGAAATTTGTTTACTCCGACGAAGAAAGTACCGGCACAAGATTACTTTCTCAATGTGTACTCACTAACTCCTTTGATTATAACACCGGAGAACCAGGCAGAAGAGCGCAGAGAAACGTTGGGGAATCAACATTTCAACAATACTCAGGAGCAGTCAAGAGTAGTTCAGTCAGAGAGCCCTACATATACAATACTTACATCAGAAAAAGACAGTCCTCAAATATTTCAAGCAAACTCAGTCCTGGAACAAGAAAGACTGCACAGAGACACTTTGAGAACATCAGA